TCAGAAGGAGTTATTGTTTGATGAGGGATTGGTGTTGCAGCAGTTGAGATATACTGGCATGTTAGAGACCGTGCGGATCCGAAGATCTGGTTACAGTGCCAAATACACATTCCAGGTACTTGGAGTGCCGTGGGAATAGACGAGTATGATTTGGAAAGCATCTGCTTCCATAGAAAACACACGTCACGTGTGAGATGCAGAGCTATCTTTAGCTGGTGTGCATCTATGTTAGGTGTGCTGCTGATGACCACTTGGACTCTGTTTGTTACTGTACTAGGAAATATCTGCTTAATCTAGCTCTGAAACCTCAATGAAATGCTATATAGAAGCATATTTCATTAGCCTAGATAGGTCCTGTGTATGCTGACCAAGGCACAATCTGAACTGCTGGGAGTATTATCTATGCTTTTCTGTTTATTGTATGAATCGTAATGTATCAGCTATATATATGTCAATAGGCCGTTCCCATTATAAAGTTGTATACTTTTCCCTGGACATGGCCGATATACTTAAGCATCCATAAATGAGGCATTAATTTTAATGAGAAATTGGAAGGAGCCACCATTTTACAGGTTAAAAAATGTTAATACAGTTTTGGAATATTGATATGAGACATACTAGTACTTCCTGAAATTAAGCTAAGTTATTTGGGCTGAAACAATTTGAAAGCTAGAGCTAGTTAGAACTCCTGAATTGTCTGCTAACTCTGGTCTCTCTCACCGTCTCTTTTTCCTGCTCAGGAGTTCCTAGACCAGTTTCAAGTGTTACTACCCCAACATGCCAAATCCTCGAAGGAGGAGATCTCTGCTTACCTGAATAAACTGAAACTGGACAAAAACAACTACCAAATAGGGAAGACCAAGGTCTGTGAAATGTCTTCCACCTCAGGCCCTGAAAGAAATGCTAATGTGATTAGTCTGCACATCTTGCTGGGGAATCCCAACATATATTTGAACTTTTCTTGATAGGAAAACAAACCATTTAAAAAGTTTGGCTCTTATATTCTCCAGAATCTTTCAGTTGTTTGTAGATTAAAACAGCTAAGGGCAGCATATTGTACTTGTTACACTTGTGACGTCTTTATGCTATAAAGACATTGGCTTGGCAAACAGAGGATACCACTGGGCTTTTATTGCAAAGGTCAGTGCTTACATTTAGAAAGAGATTTTTGCTGCCTTAAGAGAAGTGTGCATTGGAGTCTGAACGTGAGGATTTAGTTAACAAAACAGAACTTAAAGTAGACTTTTGGGAGAGAGAATTCATGAAATTGGGATTTACAGGTGAAGCAGATTCCCAGGCCTATGTGAGACAAAACTGTGGCTAACTATGCTCAATTTAAAGTGTAGTATCCCTGGGATGTATCCTTCTAAGAGACGGCTCAGTCTCGTACTGACTAATGCTCCTGTGACCTTCTTGTTTTACTGGCCAGGTGTTCATGAAGGAGGCAGAACGACAGGTGCTGCAGGACACACTACATAAAGAAGTGATTAGGAAGATTGTTCTCCTTCAGAGCTGGATCCGGATGGTTTTGGAAAGGAGACACTTTCTCAGAATGCGGCAGGCAGCCATTACCCTTCAGGTAGGTGCGACTTGATTTTAGGGAGAGCTGCTAATCTCCACTGGAAACATGGCTGTGACTGTCTCTGACCAGAGAAATTTTGCTCTTAGACTTGTTGGCGTTCGTACCAAAGTAGGAGGGCTTCGGAGAGGACTAAGGCTGCCATTTACATTCAGTCAGCATGGCGAGGATATAAGGAGAGAGAATCCTACCATCAGCGGAGGAAGAGAATTTCCCTTGTGCAGGCTTTTGTCCGGGGGTACCTACAGCGCAAGAGGTAAAGGAGAGGAGTGCTATGGTTCAATCAGGCCTAAATTCAGAGACTGCCCAGGCTGTTTCAGAGCTAGTTTGCTGTGGTTGCCCAAATTAATTCTTCATTCTGGTCCATTGGCTCTTAATCTGATCAGTGTCCCTTAAGAAAGAAAAGTAAAAACTGCACGCGGCAGATTTAAACTGGGGATGACAGCCCAGGTACCTCGTATTTGGGTTAAACCAGTGTGCCCAAGCAGGCTACCATGGCAGCTTGACTGGAGTACAGTATCGTTACTGTACAGCCACAGCGTACGGAGGCCCCGAGCAGCCATGCTGAGACTTCAAAATTGAGGATACAGGGCATCCCTGCTATCAGTCGCCCCTGCTATCAGTAGGATGGTACACATCCATTCCGCACTATAGTCATTGACTCTTGTAGGAACGGAGGCGTTATAAGTCTTCCCATTCCCCACTATGAAGTTGCACAAAAAAAACCTCCCCCAATTTGTGCAAATGAAAGTCGGCCATGGGGAAAAAAATTCCTGGCTTTAAGTTGTTTCACTGTACGTCCACATTTTTTGGAACGTATTCTGGACTCATAGCAAGGCTGACGTGTACCTGCGAATTGTACTCTGTGAGCCCTGTTTAACCCACAGCCATGCTTCTTGCCCGCTTCTGGGTTAAGCCTTTACCCACCCTGTCTTTAATGTGTTTAAATCTAGATTTCAACAAATGATTGCGGAAAAGCAACAGGAAATGCAACAAGCTCAAGAGGAAGAGGATCGTACGAGCCATGAAGATGGCAGTGAACTGGCATTGGAGCAGTTGGCTATTATACATGAAATGCAGCCAGATCAAGATGCTGAACAGATGGCAGCTGGAGTAGCTCAATCTCAGAATGCTCAAGATGAAAACCGGAACCAAGCTACTGAAAAGGCCATTTCTTCTCCGAAGAGCATAGCAGATGGCCAGGAGAAAGTCACAAGCAGTCGGGAGAAACGGGAATCTCGCCGGCAAAGGGGTCTGGAACATAATAATTTACAGAATAAGCACATCCTGTTTCCCCTAGAGGAGCCGGCTTTCGTATGTCATGAAGAAGAATCTTCTGCTGAAGAGGTTCCAGAAACAGTCCAAGAGCCAAACAAGTTCACTGCCGAAGACACAGTCCTTCCAAAAAGTACAGAGGAAGAGAGAATCCCAGTAGAAGAAAACAAAACCATTTCAGACACGCAGGTCCCAAATGAAACACCTGACAGTGTTTCCTTTCCCAATCAGTCAAATGAAACCAAACAGGAAATAGTAGATGATAAGGACATTGATAAACTGAACATTGAAGAGAACCAAAAGAAGCAATTAAAAGTCAGTCAGAGCTTTACCTGTTCTCAAAGGCCATCCGACCTTGCGCTGAACATTAAAAATAATCTTTCTGCCACCAGAAGCTTTCAAAGCGCAGATGAGCATTACAAAGATAAAAATAAACACCGAATCACCAAGGTGGACAAAGATCTGGACAGCCCCACCGCTTTCCAGATCCAGAGGTATCTGGATGACCCGGACAAACTGAGGGACAAGCGGGAGAAATGGAAAGGAAAGAGACAGTCAGAGGCTAATCAGAATGATATGCTGAGCCAGTCTTTGGATGAAAGAAACCGGTCTGATCAATCTCTTCAGACCTTACTAGAGTAAGAGCAGCTTTTCCAATGGTTTGATGATTCTGTAGTCAGTAGCCGCTTTAGAGAAATACATTATCAATACCCTGAGCCTTTATTTTAAATATTTTTGTGGCAGACTGTGCACCTGTCCCAGCCTGGGCTAAAGAGATTCTGTGTGTGCTTAAAAATTCTTGGATTGTCAGGCCCTGATCCTGATTGTAGGGGTCAGGGCCTTATAGTCCAGGATTTAAGGTCTGTGTGTGTAAAACCTTCTTATGCTCCCTTGAAACTGAGGACCAGGCCTTACCTACTGTCTGCGTATCTCAAAGAACGTCGTTTGCTATGCCACTTGATAAAATGTTGCTTGAAAATGGCCAGTTTCTTTGGCTCCCCCAGCATTTTCTCCTCGTTTATAGTAGACAAAATTTAAAGAAAAGAATGTTTTATTTTTAAATTCAAACATATTGGAAGAATGGTGGAGTACAGTAATATGTGTCCATTAAAATTCTCCTACACACGTTAAAAATCAACACGGGAGTTTTGTTTTTGATTTAAACCCCAAACAGTTTAAATCTGAAGGATTTCTGAGTATAGGTTTTAACTATTTTATGGGAAGTAAGATAATTTGTCCCAAACTATATGACAATATGAACTTTGAGCCTTGAAACAGAAAATCTGTTTTTTTCAATGCAGAATAATACTCTTGTAATCTTACAGAAAGAAGGGGACCGCTTCTTCTCTGGATGACATCGCTAACCTTGCTCAGTCTGTCGCCATGATTCAGGTATTCGCCTTCTTCAGAAGTGTGTTTCTATTTGCCTTAATTGCCTTAACAGGAGTGTGAATCATAGGATTTTGTGTATATTTGAACTGTTGTGTATACTATAAATGGAAGTTAAATCAAGCCAAAGGTTGACTTAAAACAGGGGTGGGGCAAGTGAGCCTCCGGCCCACAGACCAATCAAGACCTGGGGATGGGGGAGTGCTCAGTCTCCTCCCTCCGCAGGCAGTTCTCTGTAGGAGGCAGGGGGCCAAAGACTTCACATGCTCCCCTGCCCTATGCCAATCAGAGTCTGTGGGCAGGGGAGCATCAAAGTGTCCTGGCTCCGCTTCTTCCACCTGAGGCCCCGCCCCTTCTGGGGCAGCCTGGGGCCACTTCAAAAATTTGTGATGTGCGGTCCTCCCCCCCCTTCTAAAATTATTGCCCACCCTTGACCTAAAGGTTCATGTAATATATTAAAGGTTCCATTTGCCAACTATGTGGCAATTTGTGCATTGCATTTTATATACTGTCACAAATGAACTCCGAAATGAGGCATTATATTAATAGGGCATCAACTCACCAAATGAAGTATCTACAAACTGAGTGAAGCGGATTCTTTCGAATGTTGTACAAAAACAGAACCTGGTAGATTTCTTAACATAAATTTCAAAGACGTGAACTAGCACTTTCTTCATGGACTGGATTTTAAAGATTGTTCTGTTTCTTTAATATTTTGCAGCCATCGCTAGAAACAGTGGAGGTGGAGAAGACGAACAAGAAACAGATTGTGCAAAAGAAGTCCAGTGAACCGTTATCGCCCTTGGATTTGGGTGTCTCAACGCAGACACCTAGCCAGACAATCGATGTCAAGTATGTGTTCTCTGTGTGTCTATGGGATTGATTTCAGCCAAATGAACCAAGGAATGGGCTCTTTCCATAGCATACCCTTTTATGCCCAAGTATTGCACATATCTCTGTGTGTTTGTAGGGTTATGGGATGAGGAAAAATGTTTTTTCAGCCAATTGGCAAGACTGTGTTCATGCCAGACCTGAATTGTGTTGTTTGTGCATTCATTGGAGATTTGGTCTAGCACTAGATTTTTGGGATAATAATCTATCCTCTCTAACCTCAGAGGATCGAACAAGAAGCAATGGACTTAAATTGCAGCGAGGAAGGTTTAAGCTGGACATAAGGAAAATCTTCCTAATGTCCAGGGTAGTTAAGCACTGGAATAAATTGCCTAGGGAGGTTGTGGAATCTCCATCATTGGAGACATTTAAGAGCAGGTTAGACAAACATCTGTCAGGGATGGTCTAGATTGTTCTTGGTCCTGCCATGAGTGCAGGGGACTGGACTTGATGGCCTCTTGAGGTTCCTTTTGGTTCTATGAATACATCTATAACTTATTTAATGTTTGACCTTTCTCTTAAATCCAGCCTGTGTTTATATTAAACAAGCTTCCATTACAGTCCTGTAAAAGGAACATGTAACTTGCTTTTACCTTCAGATCCACATATAAAAGTCCTCTACGCCGGCTGCTGGGAAAGAAACCAGAGAAGAAATATGCTAAAGAGAGTCCTGATGTAATGGAGGAAGGAGAAAATCTCGCTCTTCTATCATGTATTCTGTTTACAGAAGCAGTGGAGTCACAAAAATTATCAGAAGGTGAGTTGACTTGGCTCTAGTTCAGCCAAGAATGTGCAAGCAATTTAAATTTAAAAAAAGGGGGTATTGAATGTAGAACCTCCACAGCATCAGAGCCACAATGAACAGCTTTAAACTTGTCCTTTTCCATTTACCAGTGGTGCCGAAGGATGGCACTTACCCTCGTGTGTACAGTGAAATTAAGATTCTGCGACTATTAGAAATGTTCTGTGATCAAAGTTATCGTTGTTTTTCAAAATCATCAAATTATATCTGACCAAAGCAAAAATTTAGATTCTGTTTGGCTTCCCATTGAGGCAATATTTTTGAAGACGCCTTCGAAGTTTACTAAATAAGGTGTATGTTCCTATGCAAAAAGGAAGTAATCTCTGCAGAGTTGCAGAGAGAGCTTGTCCTAGAGGGTTCTTCTCGTGCATGATCTTAGTCTTAATGGTAATATTGGCTAGATTTTCTCACCAAAGTTATAAATACGGAAACAGTAATTCTGGCTTTAAGTGTGGTTGTCATATCCAAATGCAAAGTGTGTTTATTTAGAATAGTGAATAAAATTTGTATATTTTAAGATCTGAAGATGGATATATCTAAAACTCACTCTGGATGGCTATTTCATCAGTATATTCTTCACAGACATTCCCATAAGATGCAATTGGACATGTCCAGAATGGCATTAGAAACTTCTGTCTAGGAGTGGTTTCTTTGTAATTTTAATAGTAATAAAGGCCCAGATTTGATGTTGATTACAAAGGTAACACTGCCAGGCTAGAATCTTGTCCAAGTCTCATCTTGGAATCTAAAGAAACATCTCCAGAAACTTCATTTTCAGAGTGCTTTAAAAATTGTACCTTATCCTAAAAGTTTGTGCAGAACATCTGTTTACTTTCCATATTTCTTGTGATATGGATTTGGACTCAGCCTTGTGTTTACTGGACATGGCTATGAAATGAATTCTTTAAAAGCAACTGCTATGATTATAAAATACAGTTGTGACCCTTTTCATGTCGTTGGCGCTATGCTTTACACTGTGCAGCACAAGGAAGCGGAGGGAAGAAAAATTGCAAAATTCTATCTTCCTGCCTAGAATATATTCTGATTATTTTTCCCAGCCCCGAGTCGCCCACAGGCAGGAGAGCGACATGTGAAAGAAACTAGCAAAGGGAAAAGAAACCGCACTATTAAAATCAGCAAGATTTCCAAAGTGTCTGAAAAGTGGCCAGCATCTGTGTTCCGTGAGATTACAAATGCCAATGAGCTGAAATACCTCGATGAGTTCCTTCTGAACAAGGTGAGATACAGTGAAATAGAGTGCAAGGCAAATCTCTAGTGGAGGACCAATTATCTGATATGGGTGCGACTCACTCCATTTTTATTTTTTGTCAGCTAATATAAATATTTGTCATCTGAAGAAGTGGGTGGTGCCACGAAAGTTCAGGATACTATTTATATATTTTTGTTAGTCCCTAAGGTGCTACAGGACTGTCGAAGCAAAAGATGTCTCAGTGTTTAGGCGGCTAACAAACAGCTTTATTTATCAATAAGGCGCTCAGTGAGCCAAATGTGACCCCAGCAGAACCGGGCCCAGTAAGGCTGTCCAATACAAATCAATCCTAGTATTTTATACTCTTAACCAAACAAGTCTGATGTCAGGATATCCATTTACAGAAATCATCAATTAAACTCAAAAGAGAAGACTGTTATCAGGAAGAAGAAACAGGTATCCGGTAATGAGAGCTCCAGCTCAAAACAGCTCAATTAACATATTCCAGTAGCTCATCCTTCTGGCCTTTCTCACATCAGTGAAGGAGAGTTCACTCTCTAGTGTACATGCAGAAGCAAGAAACTTAAATGGCTTCTGTTATACGAAATGGCTTCTAGCTAAATATGAAATGGCTTCCACAAGGACCATTGTAGTTTTTAAAGATTTTTAATTACAGACTAACATGGCTACCCCTCTGAGGTAAATTGGAGTGGAAGCATTTCATGATTTTTATTTTGTTGTATATTTTCTCACCTTTTAAGATGCTTTTATGCCCAGACTTCCAAGGAAGGTCTGTTTAGAACTGTTATATGGATGAATCTGGGATTATTTTATTTGATACATTTCTGTAGCATGGGTGTGGGGCAGACGGGAGCCATTTTAAAAGCTGGCTCTCTGCATGTACCTGCACCCCTATACCCGCCTCTCCTTCCCACCTCCATGCTGCTGCCTCTGTATGAGAGGCAGCTGTTTGGGTCGGGGCAGGCGGGAACTGGTGCATGTAGGAAGCAGACTGCTCCCTTCCCCTGTGTATAATTGCTGAAAAATTCAGCAGTTACATGTTTACTTGAATAAATTAATTTAAACATACCTGCCATAAGCAGACTGGGTGCAGAACTGGGACCTTAGCTGTATCCTTCAAAATAGGGTTGCTCTTGTCATGACTTGCCACTGGATCTTTTTTGGTTTTCTCAAAATGTAAATCTGAAACTGGGATCTTGAACAAAAGCGAAAAGTGCAAGTGCTGAGTAGAAATGTCAGATTGTTTTGAATGAATGTTGTTGCCACTCCTATCTAAGTGGAGGTGCCCAGCTCACCTTGTGAGGGATTGAAAAGTTTAGCCTCCCAGGCATCAGCTTCAGTGATGATTTAAGGGGAGGAGGAAGGTGATATAGTAACGTAACACAAACTGGATTTTTTTTCACAGTCCAGATGTTTCTTTTCCTTTCCATGGCAAGTCACCTTCGTTCTTGTATGCAGGTGTAACTGCCACCAGGCAGATTTGAACCTGGGCCCTCTGGAGCTTAGTCTAGGAGCTGCCACAGCTTGAGCCATAAAGCCAACTGGCTCTCAGTTTAGGCGGTAAAGCTCCTTTGTTCTTATCTCTCGCAGTGCGTGGTCTAAGGACTGTGGCTGTGGGAATTCTATCCTTTAGCCCTTTCCTCCCAGTGAACCACATTAAGTGTGTGGGTTACACAGGCAGTAAGATGATGTTAACAAGAATGTATGGGTAACAGGAGTACATTCATTGGAAAAGGAGGCAGACTGACAAGTATTGTCTTTCCATGTGTGACAGATGCCTTTAGTGTTATCAGGAAATCTCATTTTGGATAATTGGAAGCTTCAGGCATTTCTGATCCAAAAGGGTTAGCATAAATTTAGTACAGCCTGATGTTCTCTCCTTAAATATGTTTGTGACAAGTATCGTTGCCTTTCAGATAAATGACTTGAACTCCCAGAAGTCTGCTATTGAATGTTTATTTTTTGAAGCCACAGAAAAGTTTCGAGGAACTATCAAAACAATGTATTCTGTTCCTGTAAGTAATATACCTTGTTAGCTCCAAAACCGGATGTGACTATCACACTAATTGATTTTGCAAAGAGCTGGAGTTAAGCATTTAAAATGAATGTTCTAGCTTAACTTGTTTGTGTTCTCCTTAGTTTTTTGGCATCTAAGCAGGAATTTCTAACAGTGATTTAACCATCTGCATATTTTGTTAGTCTTTAAGGTACTGCCAGATTTTGTTGTTTTTTAAGTGATTTAATATTTCAGTCTTTTTTTATTTTAGTGACAAAATTAGGACACAAATGTTAGATTTTGCAAACTTTTGCTTGATCTTTCTTTCCCTTTCTCGTCACCTCTCTGGCCACTGGTTACAGTGCTGCAGCAAAGACAGCTGGACTATACTGTTGTCAGCTTGTTCATGTTGCTGCACTAGTTACCCAGTGGGTGACCATTACAAATTAGCCTGCAACGTTTCAGCATTAAAGTTCGTGGCTGAAAAAAAAAAAAAAAGAATGATGTGCTTTATGACACTGTTCATATTTGAATAATGCCTTTACTTCCACCAGAATGGGCAAATCCATGTCGGCTATAAAGATCTGATGGAAAACTATCAGCTCCTAGTGGTAAATCTGGCGAAAGAGAGAGAAGAGAAAGACGTCAAGCTGGTTTTAAATCTCTTCCAGTCCCTTCTCGATGAGTTTTCCCGAGGATATGCAAGAAGAGAAGAGTCAGAGCAGCACAAGGTATAGTACTTCCTTCCCACTAGTCATGTGGTGATTGAAAAAGTGGTGTTAGAACCACGTTTTTTCCCTAAAGTCGTCCTCATAAAGAGCCCGTGTTACTTTCCCACAGAGGTGTCCTTTTTTGAAACTTTTTCCACTTATTAATCCTGAATCCACCATAGGAATGTGAGAGGTTAACCATTACCTGGTTGGACTGGAGCAGCACCCCACTTGCTGCAGGCAGGTGACTCATGGGGGCCCTGCCATGGACGGGGGGTACTCTGATGTCCAGAGCAGCCTTTGTCCGCGGGAAGCCCCGCAGGCAGGGACTGCTCCAGCCGGGTTGGAGCAGCCCCTGTCTGTTGCGGGGACGGGGGAGAGGGTCACTGCAGCCCAGTGGGACTGGATCAGCCTGCCCCTCTTTAGTTGGTTAATTGCTTAAATATAATGTTTTAACCAGGGTTAACAGGAATATTCATCCCTAATCCTGCATGTGTTAATCCGTTCTTACAAACTTTTGGCAATTTATTTGAAGGCACTTTTCATATTTAGGCATTTTTTTCAAGATACTGGAAATACTAAGATCAAGCTGGGAAGAATTTTGACTAAACCTCCAAAGTTCTTGGTAGGGTTCCACAATTCCAGTGCTTTATCACTAGGCAGTGACAGCCCCCCCAGATTCAGATGGTTTGAGCCAGCAATGGGCAACCTAGATTAGTGAGCGGGCCGCATGAGTGGCCTTCCTTCATCTCAGTGGGCCGCAGGATGGTTGAAACCAAGACAGTCTTCCAGGAGAAGGTAGTTTTTGCTAATGCTGCGGAGGGTGTGGATGGAACCCTAATAATGCTTTGATTGGACACAGAGGGAATGCGTGGTGCACACAGCCAGAGTTGTGTGCAGTCAGCGCACACCTCGCTTTGAGCCTTTGCTGTACGCTCATGTCGCTTTAGTAATTCCGGTAGTGGGGAAAGCTACACTGATGGAAACCAGCAGCATCTGGCAACCCTGTGCATGGACAACAGTAAACAAAATGTCTTGTAAGCCCCACACACAATCCCAATGGGCCGCAGGTGGTCTCAGGGCCACAGGTTGTGCCCCTGCTGGTCTGAGCTCTGAGAAGAACCTTCTCCAGCAGCGTTAAGTTAGCAGATGTAGGCTGCAGTGTGAACCCTCAAATGACGCAAAGGTTGAGGGGGGGCTATCAGATTGTGAGAGATAGGGGATAGGAAATCGTTGGCGTGCACAGATTAATATACCTTTGTGTATTCCATTGCAGCAAAGCAAAGCCCAGAAGAAGAAACGAAAACAAGAGCGCCTAGTGAGTATTTATTATGGTAACGCATGAAATCCCCAGCCAGGGTGGAGTAGGTGCTGCGGGATCCTCCTGTCTCAAAAAGCTGCTTAAACTAACGGGGCTTCTTGGTTTGCATACCAAACTAACGTCATCACTGCATCCTGTAGCTTTGGGACTGTTGTCTCCCATAGCAGCAAGGCGTGCAGAACGATTCCTATGGTGTACTAGGGATTTCCAGAATCATTTTAAAAACGAAGACCAACAAAATATTATTTACTTATTGTTTTTTGGCTGAATGACCAGCCCTAGAAACACGATGACCGATTTAACTCCCCCCCAGACACGTGCAGAGTAATTCATGCTGGAAGGAACCATTGAAACTCCCATTAGTTGTTGGGCTCTGAATGCCAAGTAATCTCTCAGGGCAAAGCTCAAGGTATTGTTGTGGCTGGCTCCATGAAAATATTTGTACTGTGGACACTGGGGGCTTAAGGGAGCAGCTGCATTAAAGGATAGAGAAAAATACCACATCAAAAATTAATGGCAATTCATCGCTTTATAGATTCAGTTCCCTCCCCTCAGAAATTACATGGAAAAAATATGAAAGGTCAAAGGAAGTACGTCAAGAATGATTTGAGCATTTGAGAGGATTCTTGAAAGAGCAGGGCTGTTTCTTTTGGAAAGCAGAGGTGTCCTTGGAGATTGCTCTAGCCCAGCGTGGGGAATCTAAGGCCCAGGGGCTGGATGCAACCCTCAGCTTGCTTGGATCCAGCCCCTGAGTCTTGAAGCTCTTCCCCCGCCTCCAGCCTTGTGCAGGTGATCCAGCCCCTCCTCCCCATGCTGCCTCACCACAGGGCTGAAGCACACAAAATGTAGGCTGGGCCTCTCCAGGCTCTGGTGTGTGAGGGGAATGGGGGAAGTGTCTTTCTGCTTCTCAGTCAAAGGCCACGTCCGTGAGGGGTTTATTTCTGTTTCTCATTCTCACTTGTGTGCAGCCCCCAACTGATTTTTTTTCTGTGGGACAGCGGGCCACAACCCAAAAAAAGATTTCCCACCCATGCTCTAGCCTGACCGGGTTCTGTTTATTCCTCTCCCTTCAAGCAAAGAGCATGCTGTAAAACTGCAAGGCCGTGATTTTAAAATAGTGTATAATTACACCATGCAGTTTGCAGGGATGGGCTGTTATTGAGCCAAATATCTGCGATTCATAAAGGATTAAACACTTCATATAACTACCACAGGGAGGATATACATTAAGGGCTGTGGATGCCTGTTTGCAAAGCATAAGCTGATTGCTTTTGGGGTTCAAGCAGAACTGCGCAATTAGGTGTCGGCGCGAGTATTCATCCCATGTGCCAAAGTCCTAGCATAGGCTTCTGGATTAGATGAATCACTGGTCTGTCTTCTTGTGCAGCCCGGTGTGTACATAATTGCATACAACTTCCCTCACATGGGCACCTTTTAAGGACACCCTGGTTTTTGAAAGGAGGAAATTGTTGTTTAAAGGGGAGGGGTAAACTGCATCAGATGGGTGGCTGGGGTAAAGTCACTGTCTAATGAATGTCTAAATTATGAAATGGACCAACACTGATTCTATTGGGTTAGAGCAGGGCAGGCCTATTGAAATGGCTCACGGTAGCGGCACTACCCTGGCCTGGGCCGGAGCCACGAGCCTTTTAAATAGCTGCAACAACCCCGGACGGCTTCCAGACAACGTGGTAGTGGCGGGGCCGGGAGCTGCGAGTCCTTTGCTGTATTTTTACTTCAAAGCCTCCGGTCCCAGACAACTCTAGGGGAAGACTAGTCCCCAGGCCCCGCCCCTTCCAGGGGTTGGAGCTGGCCCATGCCCATGTACCAAAATTCATTAAGTGGCTCCCCCCCCCTGTGAAAATTATTGCTCACCTGTGGGTTAGAGCAATGGTTTTCAGCCAGGGATATGCAGAATCCTTCTAGGGGATACCTCTGTTCATCTAGCTATTTGCCCAGTTTACAATAGGTGACACACAAAGTCAGTCCAAAAGAAAATTTCATATAGATAGTGAGTTGTTTATACTGCTGTGTACATACAGTACCCTGAAATGTAAGTACAGTAAAACTCCGATAGTCCGGCATCCAGCTGTTCGGCACTCCCGATACTCTGGCATCAAAATGCCAAGTGCTCCTGACCAGCTGATTAAAAAGCCTGCTGCTCAGCACGCGTGTTGGATGTAACCAGAGGGAGCAGAAGGTTGAGGGGGAGGGAGTGGGACACGTGCTGGCTGTAACCAGACGGCGCATAAGGTTGGGGGGCGGGGAGTGGGATCGTGTTACAGTATGAAGAAGAGCGTTTTGCTTCAGCAAAGGGGAGGGGAGAGGGAGAAGGATCAGGTTACAGCATGGAAGAGACTCGAAGAGGAAAGGGGAGGGCAGAGGGATCATAGAATCATAGAATACTAGGACTGGAAGGGACCTCGAGAGGTCATCGAGTCCAGTCCCCTGCTCCATGGCAGGACCAAGGGAGATTGTGTCCTGGCCAGCTGTTAAGCCGTGCACCACCTAGGTCCAAAAGGTGTCAGATTATTGGAAGTCTACTGTATAGTATTTGTATTCCAATTGATTGATTTTATAATTATATGGTAAAAATTAGAAAGCTATTTTTCAGTAATAGTGTGCTGTGGCAATTTCGTACTTGCATCTGATTTGTAAGCAAGCACTTTTTAAGTGAGATGAAACTTGGAGTACCCATGGCAAATCCAGGGGTACGGTACCTTACCTCCTGCAAAGGGTACAGTAGTCTTGAAAAGTTGAGAGCCACTGGGGTAGCAGGAAGTCTGGGTTCTGGTGTAAGGCTGTCCAGTTGTGACTGTGGACAAGAGACAGAAAAGTAAGGGGGGGCCACAGCTCAGGTTGTTGCTAAAGAAAATGAACAAAGGGAGCCGTTAACTTCTCCCTTCCCCCCACCCAGATTGAGGAGCGCAATGGTCATGTGTTTACCAGCTGCCAAGTGAGCATCCGGCAGTCATGTGAACAGTGTTCATCCTACATCTGGCCTATGGAGAAGGCCTGTCTTTGCAGTAGTAAGTGGAAATGGCTCATTCTTGCCACTTAGTTTTTTAAAATTGCAGATTCCTTGTGACTTAGCCTTGCTGAGGGTGGGATCTGGGCTGAGAGCGCTTTACAACGGGTGATGGCTGGGCTGTTAAGACCTTGCAAGTGAGAACTAGGCATGTTAAATATCGGTTAATTCAAGAGTCGAGTAACCTCATGAATTCTTATCGGTTACTGGACTACTCTGTAGTCCCCGGGGTGGGGCCAGTAGCCCAGGCACTACAGCCTCGCTCCTGAGGAGCCCCCTGCCACTCCATGCTGCTTCCTCTGTATCAGGGGCAGCAGCATGGGGTGCCAGGTGGGAGCTGACCCACATGGGGAGCCCGTTTAAAACCCAGCTCCCCTTGCGGATGGGCTGCCTGCCACCCCATGCTGCTTCCTGCCCACCCAGCTCCTAATACGCTTTTAATTCAGAGCTGCAGCAGGGGTAGGTCCCAGACCCGCCACAAGGCAGGACCGAGCCAGGCTGCTGGCCAGCCTGCTGAAAAATGTACTGGGAGAATGGGGGAAATGCGTGTAGTCTATAGCACTAACCTATAAGCATTTGCTTATCTATTACTCGACTATACTATTACATACCTAGGGAGGACATGTTGCCGTGGGGATGCATGTGTGAGCCGGCTGGCACAGGTGCTAAGTAGGCTTCTGAAAATTCCTGCCAGCCACTTCACTCAAAGCAACTGCATATCCCTTTCCAGGATGGGGTAAAATGCCCGCTTGGTAACTTGAAGTGGCCTGTCTCAGCTGGAGCAGTCCTACATCTGAGAAGCTTTTTCCATCTCCCAGGCACAGGGTAATTTGTGTTTTGGGGAAAACTCCAGAACGCAGCTTTTTCCGACAATAGAAAGGCCAACAGCAAAGGGGAAATAGGAAACTTCGCATTTGAGTCTGCTTTGATCTGTTAGTAACAGTCCATCTCCTCTGTAGTTTGCAAGCTGATTTGCCATAAGAAGTGCATGTCCAAAACTCAGAGTTGCTGCACATCGCCCTGTGGAAAGAAGGTAAGAGAAGTCCTGCCCTCCGTGCCTGTGTGGGATGCGTTAGACCAGCTGTTAGGCAGTGCTGGCCCAATTGTACCAACAACTGAAAATCTTGCCCAGTGCCACAGCCCTGGGGCCATTCTCACCAGCGGGCATCATGTGACCGAAAGTAACATGCATGGCATGACGGAGTCACTAGTTCAATGCTTTGGAACGCTCTGTATGAAGCCAGACAGGACAGGGTAGGGTGGTATTCTGTCCAGAGCTAGGAGCCTCTTCTGTGATGGCCTTCCTGGGTCTGACCCTAGAGCGTTCAGCATTCCATACACTGCCCCTTGGTGGGTGCAGTTGAACAGGACCTCTGGGGAAGCCAGGAGATCCTGTATCCCCACTCTATAGTCAGCCATGACCCTAAACCAGCAGGTAAAACTGAAGTTTATTAGTGGACGGGAACACAGCTTGTTAGCCCAGAAAGCAAGGACTTACAGCAAAGTCTGACTGAGTCAGATGCCCTAGACTCCCGTTGCCCCTTTTTCGGGTCTTTGCCTCACTTCCTGAGGAAAATGTCACCTAGTGGCCTCCCCCTCCTGGTTCTCGGGTTACAAAGGGATGTAACCTGAGCAGCTGGAGCCACCTCACCTGCTCCGGAGTCTCAGCAAAAGTTACACACCTTTATCGCCGCCAACACCCAAGCACTGGTGCAGTACACGGGGAAACTGAGGCACATACCATGTTCATGCAAAACAGTCAAGGCTCATGTACAACGCAACAAGGAAGGGGAAAAAAACCACTTTGTCATGCGGCATAAAGCATTCAGCTTTCATTTAGAAGTAGCAGAAGGTCCTAAGTGAAATGAGGTTTTGTAGCCTGGAAACGGGAATCCGCGTGACTCTTGAACTACATCAATTCCAGGATGACCAAGATGCAGAGCCCCGTCACTTCGGAGTGTGTGTGAGTTCCTTAACGAGCGATAAGAACACAGTCCCCGTTGTCATGGAGAAACTGCTTGAGTATGTGGAGATGCATGGCCTGTACACTGAAGGAATCTATAGGAAATCGGGGTCAGCAAATCGCATGAGGGAGTTGAAACAGTTGCTGCAGACGGGTATGTCTAAATAATGCTTTCTACCTTTCCTGCTTCCCAGCAGTGAATTCAGCAGTCTCAGCTATTCTGAGAGCATCTGTAAGACTCTATTTCTTACCGGAAAAACTGCTCTGCACTAACTTGTGCAGTACGGAGCCTGCGTTACTGATTGGCTTGCTAATCTTTTCATGCTCATAAATACGTATCTTCAGGACCCATTTTGAGTAGCCACTTGGGCTTCCTGGGAGTAAATACACGACTACTTGAATTCTTTGTAGGCCCCCTTCTGTGGGAGCGGATTGTCTGCATCAAAAGAATCAGATGGGCTACATCTTGTAACTGTCGTTTCAGATCCAAATTCAGTGAAACTCGAGAATTATCCCATTCACACCATCACTGGCATCCTGAAGCAATGGCTACGGGAGCTACCCGACCCACTCATGACTTTTGCACAGTACAGCGACTTTCTCCGAGCAGTAGGTGGGTTTTCTCAATTTGTAGAGCAACAGGCATGTGTGTTTGTCCTCTATCTTGAAGAACGGTTTAGTGCCCCGGCACTAATTGCGTTTGTGATATGGCCTCTGTTTAGTCATTTCTCCAGCCGTTACTCTAAAATTTGTTCTAGGCAACAAAAATTTTGGGGTTTTCTGATATCAGGGTTCTTACCTCATTTTTCAGAACAGCAGCATCTGTAAGGACACTGTCCTTTCTTGGGGGGAAAACAAGTTGGAGCATTCAGTGCAAAAAATGTGAACAGCCTGGATGGAGTCTGTTATTCCTTGCATTTGTCACTCTGTCCTTACCATGCTATTACGAGCGTGTGAAAAGTGGGAAACCAACCCGGTCTGCTGTGTGCTGTTGTGTCTTACTGTAATGAAGTGACAGCCCTGGCTTCTGAAGTATTGAGCCTCGTGAGAGGCATATAAGTTCGGAGGTGGCTTTAGCTTAAGGTCCCCAAACCTCTCTAAGAGCATTCAGATGTCCAGGTGTTAATTGACTGGTGCTTTTGAACTGCTGTGAGCTCCTGAGTATCTTGAGATCTTGTGCTTGTTGTTTCTTGTGCAGAGCTACCCGAAAAGCAGGAGCAACTTGTTGCCATTTACACTGTCCTTGAACAACTTCCACAAGCCAATCACAACACCCTGGAGCGACTCATCTTTCATCTTGTCAAGTAATGGTCTCTCCTTTCCTTTGGATTTTATCTGTGCTGGGTCCATTCTCCCTCTGCTGTTGCTTTCAAATTACTGTTAAAGCCGCGTAACCCAGAAATAAGTCTATTCAACGTGTGGAATTTTGAATTTGTTATGGAAGCTTTCTGACAGCCCAACCCTTGTTGGGATCTAAGTGGGGATTTCACTGCATTGACATTACAAGGGTGAGAATTTAGGGTTGGCACCTAGGAAATGACCACCTAGGAAGGAACACTGCAGAAAGGAATCTAGGGGTCATAGTGGACCACAAGCTAAATAAGAGTCAACAGTGTGATACTGTTTCAAAAATAGCAAATGCTATTCTGGGAGGCATTAGCAAGAGTGTTGTAAGTAAGACACGAAAAGTCATTCTCCTGCTCTACTTTGTGTTGATTAGGCCTCAACTAGAGTTCTGTGTCCAGTTCTGGGTGCCACATTTCAGGAAAAATGTGGACAAATTGGAGAAAATCCAAAGAGCCACAAAAATTATTAAAAGTCTAGAAAACATCACCTATGAGGGAGGACTGAAAGAATGTGGTTTGTTTAGTCTGCAAAAGAGAAGACAGAGGGGGACATAACAGCTTTCTTGTATTTAATAGGTTATTAATGAAGGGGAGGGGGGAAAATATTCTCCTTAACCTCTGATTATAGGACAAGCAGCAACGGATTTAAATTGCAGCAAGGGCGGTTTAGGTTGGACATCAGGAATAATTTCCTGTCACGGGGGTTCAGCACTGGGATAAATTGCCGAGGGAGGTTGTGGAATCTCCATCACTGGAAATTTTTAAGAGCAGGTTAGACACACCCCTGTCAGGGATGGTCTAGATCATGGCTACTCAACACGCAGTCTATGGGTCGCATGTGGCTCATGGCTTGTTTGTTTGCGGCCCTCAGTGCCGTTTGGGTTTATGCAGGGCTCAACACGTGGCCTGCGGGTCAGCAATGTACATGGCCTCCACTGGGAACACGCTCCACAACAGCTAGGCATCTCCCAGGCGGGGTGAGCATTGAAAGACACAAGCGGACGGGCTGGCTGGAACAGTAGGGTACAGGGTGTCAGCATTTCTAGCCCCAGGGGAGGAGGTACTAGGAGCACCGGGGGATTGTGGGAAGTGCTGGCTGCTTAGCCTTGTGGGCAGAACCTGAGAGGTGCTAACTGGCTCTCACTGGCCACGTTTGGGTCCAGCGCCACAGCTTAAGGCTTAATCTTTGTATTCATGCCTGTCAGTGTAAAAGAAGCTATTTGCATATATTTGCATGTATATGCAACTACACTTAAGTTGCAGCCCTTGGCATGTGCTGGGAGTATCATTGTGGCCCCCGGGGCTTCCAAAGTTGAGTAGCCCTGGTCTAGATGGTGCTTGGTCCTGCCGTGAGGGCAGGGGACTGGACTTGATGATCTCTAGAGGTCCTTCCCAGTTCTGTGATTCTCTGATCTCTCTTTGTTTCCCCTCTTTCCTGCCAACTGATCTAATTGTATCAGGTGAGCCAAGCAGTGTTAGCTCAGAGAGGATCCTCTTAATTTGTGTGGTGGGGTAGCAGCACCCCGCACTGCTGAGAGCGGCAGCGTGGCCCTCTTGGGAGAGAGCCCACTGCCACGGTGTCTCTGCCAGGCATGCTCCCTGGCAGCGGGGCTGGATCCAGTGGGCGCTCAGACACAGGGAGAAGGCCAGGCACCACACGCACTGACGCAGATCGCCTGGCACCGGCCGATAAAGCGGAAGGGATTGGGACCAGGAGCGGAGGGGGCGGAACAACCCACCAGACAAGTAGGGCCAGCGACATGATTTATTTGCATATTCATCATTTGCTTAATGAATATGCAAATAAGTGTTACCAGTCCTCCAAAAGCTTGTGAATGGGTTTACTGGTCCCCAGTATCAAAAAGATTGGGATCCACTGTTCTAGTGGAAGGGATCTGCCTTCAGGTGAGGCCCTAAGTAGAAACCTGAAAATAGAGTGATAACCTGACTCACAAGAGATGGCAAAGAGTGGCTGGTCAAGGCCCATCTGGGCTACTTCCATCTGTGTGGATTCATGTTCTTTTTCATGCAACAAGAGGTTAAATTCACTTCTTTTAAAAAAAAGTTTTCCTAACCCTCTCACACTCAAGCCTCCCCTAGGGCTGCCTGCTGAGATGCTAGCAAAGTCTGATCGGATTGTTTGTTTTCTAAGAGTTGACTAAGAAATGTTCCTGTTGTTCCAAATGTTGACTTTCAGAGTGGCTTTAGTAGAAGACATCAACCGCATGTCACCCAATGCTCTGGCCATTGTCTTTGCTCCGTGTCTCCTGCGCTGCCCTGATAATTCTGACCCACTGACCAGCATGAAGGACGTCTCAAAGACAACCGTGTAAGTGTCAGCATTCGGTTTGCTACAGAAGTCTGCTTGGGGTGAAATTGTTCTTCCAGCCAAGGCGTGTCTCTGGTGCTGTCATGTGCGCCTTGTCTAGCTCTTGCAGTTTGATCCATGTTAGAAATATCCAATGTACAGCCGGTCCCCGAGTTACGAATGCATTGCCTTACAACCAACCTCCCATTAGCCCCATTACAGCCTGTCCCCGACTTACGAACGCACCATCCGCATTTATGAACAGCACGGCCATATTTAAAAGCACGTATTCCCAACTTACGAACAAATCGAATTACGAGATACATAACCTGTTTGTAAATCGGGGACCGGCTGTAATATTTGTTTGAGCCCTGGTTTGTGGAATAGGCTGGAGCACTGAGTGCAGAGTTAGAAGTTAGCAGGTCCTGAGTTCTAATCTTGGCTCTGCTTCTGATTTCTGTGGCCTTGGTATAACAGACCCAAGGTATTTAGGGCCTTCCTGTAGTTTTATTAATAATTAAGAGTCTTAACAGTTCTGAATTCAAATGGATAGAAAATGTTATGCATTTGATTCCTTTATTTGTTTTGAAAGCAGGGTTTGGGTAGACAGTGGGAGATATGCGCCACATGATGGTAGAAATCTATTTGTGTAAAATAAAAATCACAATTGGGCCGAATAGTAGCACATTCATGTATGAACAGCAGTCCTGTAGTGGTACTGAGAACCATTACTTACATGGAGAGGGCACAGAAATTAAACACTTTCACTTGCTTACTTGGGAGCCCTTCAGCCTTGCCCTCTGATCCTGTCTCCTTGATTTAAGAGTTGTGCCCATATCCTCTTTGTGCTAATCGCTAGCTCCTCAGTTTCTCTAGCTCTCTGTGCTTATCCCCACCTGTGCTCTATTGCTGGCCGCAAATATGCCTCTGTCATTTTTAATAAAGGGCCAGAGCAGAAATGGAAGACGTGTTTGAAACCTAATAAAGCGGTGGCTCTTTTCCAACTTCTGATTCAGTTTGCTCTTCCTGTGGGGCTGGAAAAGTGGAGAAGGGCAGTTGCGGGAACGTTCTATGCCCACCAGTGTCTGTGCCGGAGCAGGGAGAGGACAGCAGGTAGAGGAAATAGAAACAGTTAGCAGTGTGGGTGATGCTTGATCACTTACCTTTGTTGCATGGAGACACAGTGTGCGAAGTTCTGGTTATCCGAGTAAGAACATGCATCATCTGTAGCACTGCTTTTGGTTGCATCCAGTCCTGCTTGTCTGTGTAGACCCTTCATCCTGCGCTCATCCAGCACTATCCTCTAAAGAAAGTGCCACTGGAGACTTTGGTTTGAGAGGGGGCCATCTACACCCGTGTAGAAAATCCCTGAGCTAGGTGTATTCACTGGCAGTGGGCTGAAGATCTGTCTGTGTGTTGGTGATACATCCCATCCTCATGGTTGTACACAAGCATATGTGGGTATTCAGGTAGCAGGTTGCTGATCAAACTCTTGCACTTTTGAACAGGTGCGTGGAAATGCTAATAAAGGAGCAGATGAGAAAATATAAGTTAAAAATGGATGAAATTAACCAGCTGGAAGTAGCTGAGAGCATTGCTTTCCGTCGACTTTCTTTGCTCCGGCAGAACATGGTAAGTGCCGCATCCCAAAAGGGCTGTCTAGCACAATGTTTCTTAAACTTTTTAAGACGGAGGAACACCAAACAATAATTTTTTTATGAGGAACACCAAGGATTTTTGGTTGAGCCAAAAAAAAAAAAAAAAAAGGATGGGGGGGGGGGTGTAAGGGTTGGGTGGCAGGGAGGAGTTATTGAGCAAAAAAAAAAAAGGGGGTGCCTCCCCTTTAAGAGCGGCCATTTTGAATTCTGTTCTCCATGGCACACCGGTGTGCTGCGGAACACAGTTTAAGAAACGCTAGTCTAGCAGATTCCTAGGAGTGGGGGAAACCCACTGTAGCCTCACCCTTCCAGCCTGCTCAGCTTGTCAAAGACCAAGTACTGGTTACTGACCCTGAATTACAATGAAAAGGGAGCTGGCCCAGCCTAGTGTTGCACTGGGAACTAGACCTCTGCGTTGTGGAAGTCTGAGTTTGAATGAGCTTAGTGTGCTGAGGAGGGAGCATTGCTGAATGATGTAAGTACAGAGTAGGGATGTTAAATATTGGTTAATTGAATAGTCAATTAACCTCATGAATTCTTATTAGTCGACTATTCTATAGTCCCTGGGAGTAGGGCCAGCAGCCAGTGTGCTCCAGCCCCACTCCTGAGGAGCCCCCTGCCACGCTATGCTGCTGCCTCTGTATCAGCAGCAGCATGGGGTGGTTGCAGCTTTTGTCCCACGGAGGAAAGAAGGGGAGAGGGGAGTCAAAGCTCCCCACAGACAGGCTGGTCC